TTCATTAGCTTTGAAGCCATTTGTGAAAATTACAGAGGTCTTAAAGTGGCACGATGATGTTCCTGTAGGTGAAAACAAGGGTGGAAAGGAACATTACATTCCTCACTTACATTCCTCATGAGCAACAGAGTAATGGAGTCTCTGGGCTGGGAAATATTATGAATAAGCACCGTGAGAGAGCAGCATAACACATTAGGTCACTGTCTCTACGTCTACAAACTGCTTCAGGGGCCTTCGGTGATGAATAAGAAGAAAAGTAATTTTGGCTTGCGGTCGGAAAAAGAAACCTGCTTCCAATTTTCAAGCCAAGTCTCGTGCGTAGACGTCTTTTTTAAAAGACCAAAGCAGCGCAAAATGACTTCTGATTACTGGGAATGATTACAGCTTTGCAAGGTATAGCGCAGGCTGCTGATTGAAATCATCCACGCCTTTTCATTCCACTATCTCTCAGTCTATAGCTGCTTCTGTATCACATTATTATCTTTGGTATCTGTCAGCGTTTGCAGAATAAGTGCATCAAAAAGTAAACATCCCGTACCATCGCTGATAAGGAATAAAATGCCAAATGCTTTCTGGGAGCTGACAAGACGAGAAAAATACTTTCAAAAACTTCTCAAAGTTCAGCACAAGGTCCGTAAAGGGGACTGGTGGCAGCCAGGCCAGAAACATATTAATATTTTATTCCAGCCTAAATGTCTCTTTGAACCGTGTGGTCTTACTCTGAATTTTGAAGTCGTAAATAGATGTTTCAAAGCTGCAGAGCGGCTTGCACTTTAAAGGTCCTGAGAGGACAATAAATCATTTGGTCACACGTTCCGTAGCTACACCGGCCCTCTCTGGATCAAACAGCTCTCTCAGCATCTCTGTACCACTCTGCTGCTCGAGTATGAAGTTCAAGATGAGAGAGAGAGAGCTCTGTGAGGACTTACATTCCTATAAGCGTTGCATAATCCAATTGTCATACCACAGACATATCAATGACAAGGTGTATAACAGCTCAGCCTTACTTGAATTAAATCATCTTTGTGGATTTAAAAAAAATCCCACAGAACTATCAGATCGTCTCTGGTGGTTGAAAATCTACACGCTCAAACATTTCTGCAATCAAGTCAATACTGGGGATTCTTGTTCGACCCCCCTGGAGGAGAACATTATGGCTGTTAATGTCATCCACAGTATAAAATAGCTTCCCATAGTCGGTTTAGTGGCTCATTTCCTTACAAAAGGAACTCTTACCTGAGTGGAAAAATAAAGACTCGGGTATGCAGGGTTTTTACTGATACTTTAATATTTTATCTCTGAATGATGTTCAGCAGATTCTCTTTGTTTTGTTTTTACATGTTCCTAGAGACTGTTCTCTGAGACTGCGGTTAATGTGTGCTACAGTCACTGTAGTGTAACCACAGCTTGCTAAAGAGTGCCCTCTTGTGGTTAATTTCTATAATGTCTGAACCATTGAGTGACTCTAGCAATTGCCATGGACATTCTGAATGAATTAATAAATGAATGAATCATCTTTATTGGCTTTATACATAGTACAATGAAATATGGTTTGAGATCTCTTAAGATAAAAAAAAAAAAACAATGACAAAAATAAAATGAATGCATAAATAAGGATGGATAAAGAAAAGAATAGATGGTAAGAACAGATGAGATGAACAGCATCATTGTAAATGATTTGGCCAGTTTAAGGTGTCAGAAGTGTCCTCAGTGCCATCTTGTGTGTTATCTGTATTGAAGTTTCTATGATATGTCTATAATTAGTTGTGTAGTGTGATGATAGCTAAAAACTGTTCCTGAGGCTGTTGGTTCTTCTTCTTATGGTCCTGAACCGTTTGCCAGATTGCTCTAGAGCAGTGGTTCTTAACCTGGGTTCAATTGAACCCTATGGGTTCAGTGAGTTGATCTCAGGGGTTCGGCAGAGCCTCCGCCGTGACATGCACGGCTCATTTTGTGCACCAGTAAAAAACATATCTATGTCTTGAATTTGAAAAACATCATATTTTATTTTTCACTAAAGAGGGGTTCAGTGACTGCGCATATGAAACTTTTGGGGTTCAATACCTCCAACAAGGTTAAGAACCACTGCTCTAGAGTGTTCTGTGCTTATTGATAGTCTACCTTCTACTTCATCCTGATGCCCAGGGAATTACCCTTGACCTCCTGAAGTCAATAATCATCTCTTTTGTTTTTGAGGTGTTAACAACAAGCTCATTGTCTCTACACTACTCAGGCGGATGACCCACTTCCAGCATATAGGCACTTTCATTCTTGTTAAAAATAAGGATGAAGTCCAAATCGACAATTTCCTGAGTTACTTGCACACAGGAGGCACCAAGCAGGTTACCACACACAGCACAATAATCTGGCATCAAATAAGGGGATGTCTCCATCTTAAAATAGACCAACTGCAACCAGGTGTGTAATCAGTGATGCTTCTCGGGTGTGAAGTAGTCAGGGTGGAGACAAGGGTAAAACCCCTACTCTGAAACACAACAGACACACACACTTACAGAAAGGACAGGGGCGGACTTCTAAGCACATTGCAGTGGCTTTCATCTAACTGTTGTGTATATTGTTGCCACATTACTTTTAAGAGAACTCTCATGAAGAGAGCTGCCCAACGTTTTAGGATTTGTTTCTGATCTGTTTCTAACCTCTCCTCCAGACTCCACCTGGCCTCCATCCAGCAACACCCAGGAACTGTCAAACCAGTCTGGGTCTTTTTGGCCTCCTTTTATAGTCAAGGTCCTAGGAGGGAATGTGCCAAGTGTACTGGAGACTTAAATAATCTATTTTAAACATTCACAGAATTGGGAAATTTTCTATACTTGTGCTTATGTCCCCACTGTTAACTTATCATTATATTTCAATGAAAGATTAAGCATTGCTTTAACTTATGTAATCCTTACTTGATATTGAATTGTTATTTCAAAGGCTGGGGGGAGCCACTGACTATTTAGTCAGCAGTTGCTAGTGCTCTCAAGGACTAGTGTGTGCTAGGTCCAGATGGAGACTAGCCATAGTGGCTTATTGTCAGGTGCCCTAGTTACAGGGCTTGTATACCAGCTGTTTCTGTTTAGTTTAGGATTATCTTTAAGACTTGGAGATGTGTTATTTGTTTCCTTAGATTATTCATGAATAAAGACAGTGATTTGATGCATGTAAAAATATGATTGACTGTCTTTATTGTTTCCTCCTATCTCTCTGTTCTCAAAAGTGAACACAGGGTAGAGAGATGAGAGATGAAAGGAAGAGGTTGGAAAAGAGAGTGAAAAAAGAGGGTGGAAAAAACAAAGGGATAGAAAGGTGGAAAGAGGCAAAGGAGAGAAAACCCCAACAATTCCTTCTGAGCAAGCACTAGGCAACAGTGTGGAGGAAAAACTCCTTTTAAACAGGAAAAAAAACTCCAAAAGAACCAGGCTGAGGAAGGGACAGTCAACTGCCTGGACTAGTTGGGGGGTGAGGGTGAAAAAAGAAAGAAAAGAAAAGGGATGAAGAGGAAGGGGCGAACAAAGAGAGGTGATAGGAGAGAAAGGGAGAGAGGGGAGAGGAGAGGTGGAGGAGGAAGCAGGAGGGTCCCTCTTCCTGAATAAGTGGAAGCGTTTTTTCTTCTTTCTCGGGCACTGTTCCTGGAGCTCTTTTATCTGAAGGATGAAATTTTTTATGTCATCGATTGTTTCTGCATTTTGCTTCTCAGGTTTCTTGAGTCTTTTCTCCAGTTCTTAAATGTTGCTTTTTTTTCTTCAAGCTTTTCTTTCAGTTCTTTAGATTTCACCTCCTGTATTAGCAAAGTCGTGCATGTCTTCTAACTCCTGAGTTCTCTTCTGCATTTCATTGAACCTACACTGCATCTTTTGTCCTTCATTTTGTTATAACATTCTTGTAGTTCTAGATTCTTTTCTCTTAAAGTCTTGGAGAACAGGTTGCCTTTCTTTCTGTATTTCTTGCTGTTGCACTTTTATTTTTGCATTTTTATGCAGTGCTTCATCAAGCATTACTTGAAGCACTTGGTGTTTTTTGTCCATGTATTGGAGTTTGCACTCAAGTTCTTTCTGTTTTATTTCCAGTTGTTTCTTCTCTTGAAGAAACTCTTAATTTTTTTCCTGCACTTAATCAAGTTTTACTTAAAGCTCCTGGTTGTTTTTCCTCTGTGTCTTGGAGATTCCACTGTATCTGCTCATTAATAGCTTGTGTTTCTGTAAGGTCATAGGACATTTCTCTTAATTGAGTACAGTTTTTCTTGTTTTCTCCCATCAGGTCTCTAATCTGCTGGCGTACTTGACCAAACATTAATCCCCAGCCCTCATTTATAAACTGAATGTCGGCCTTGTATTGTGTGTTTTAAATGTGTTGGTCATGTCAGCACCTTCAGACAACAATGATTTTTTTTATAAAAAAGAACAAATTTTTTTTTTTAAAAAAACTGTTTGAATGAACATGAAAAGAACAATGGAAAGGATTTCCACGCTATTAAATGTTATTTTAACATTATGAAATTCTGTTATTCCTACTTAATGTACGCATTTAGTGCAACTGAGTCCAACTTAATTTAAATAACTTAAATTAGGGGCCAGTCAGTGGCAGGGTCATCCCTGGATAGGTGGTCACCAGTCCATCACAGGGCTAACACAGAGAGATAGACAAGCATTCATACATATGGGTAGAATCACCAATTAATCTAACCCCACTAGCTGCGTGTCTTTGGATTTAAACTCAGGACCTTCTTGTTGTGAGGTAACAGTGCATATAGCATACACATTGTGTGTATGCTTTTCTGCCTGTTATAACCCCAGTGATTTTCCTGTGGTTTGGAATCTCGTGTGATCTTGTGCATTTCGCGAGTCCAGGCAACTAGCCACTCTTACTAGATTGTATCATTGTGTCATCTCACCAAGAATAAATTAATTTGTTGAATTCCATGCAGATCATACATTATTTAATTACGTTCACCATAGAAACATTCAATTATTTTGTTCAAATTAATATTTAGACTCTTGTAAATGTAACAACAACCCAATTTATTTTTTTGAGTGCGTAGGGCCCGGAGGTCTCGGCTGTGTCACTGAAGGGTATTTCTCTACGCCCGCCTCTCCTCCCCGTTCCCCCCCTCCACAGAGGGTTGAACTGACGAAGAGTTCACCTCCCTGAAGGCTTTGTCCCTCTCCAAAGCCGCCAGCATGACCTGCTTTAAAACGACCTCATATTTCTCGTTCATCCGCTTCACCGCAGGTTCGTAGCTGTTGCACTGCATCTTGACTTTCCTCATCTCCTCGATGAGTAGGTTTTTCTCCTGGACAACACGCTTATGTTGCATCCGGTGAAAGTCTCTGTTTTTTTGCACCCTCACCAAAGTCCCGGCTGCTGCAGAGACTGCACGCCTGTACTCCTCCATCTCCTTCAGAGCGGTTTTCAGCTCGTTTTCCAGACGCTGGTTTTCAATGTGAACGAATGGGGTCACCGTGAGACCCTCTTCCTTCAGCAGTCCTTTCTGCACCATCTCGTTCCACTCGGTTTGAAAACAATCGAGGGTTTCTGGCATGCCCATTTGGAAGAGAAAGTTCCGTAAAAAGTCAACTATGGCTGGTGGTTTGGATGTTCTGTTGGTTGAACTGGGCCTTGCACTGGCTTCTGCCCGGTCTTGGATTGCTTTCACCGTCGCTTCCAAGTCTTCTTCACCTTCTTTTAAACTCAATTCGTCTTCTACAGAAATGTCTTCACATTTAAAGTCATCATTACTGTCAGGCGATGTGCCGTCAGCCACTTTCTCTTCACTTTCTTGCGCTGCATCCATTGCTTCGTTCAGCCAGAGTTTGACGTTGCTATGGTAATACGGGGCTCACTCAACGCGAGATTTCACAAGCTCGCGTTTTCCACCGTTCCAGCAGTCATTAAACAATCATGGCGGACTACCGAGAGGCGCCCTTGGCCACTCGGCCAAAAACATTGGATCCAAACGAATATTTTAACCTTTCGCCGGAGCAGAGGCGTGCCGAAGAAGCCAGGGGTGCACTGCGAGCAAATCTGAAGCGCCAATATCAGCTGCAACTCAATAATCCGCACAGAAAAGAGCTCATTGTGAGTGGCTACTTGCTAGTTAGCAATGTCACCCTTGAAAAGGGCTCAAGTTATTGGCCAGAATGCTAACGGGTAGCATTAGCGGGGCACAGCGGTAACTATATGTATTTATTTAGTCTAAATTTTAGATAAGATTATAAACGAGACCTTCCACTCCATGCTAGTCACTACTACATTACGAAGATCGTTTACGTCTTGGGACTTGAGAGACAGAGAACCGTGCGCTGCAGTACAGATTGCTTTCTTCCTGGTGTGCTCTGAAAACTGACTGGTGACAGAAAAAAACCCGACCCCTGCAGTGTTTTAAATTAGGGGGTCTCGTGGTTCTGTTATGCTCCTAGGGAGCATTTTGCTGACATGGTTTGGGTCCACTTCAGTCTTTAGTGTGAGGGGTCACTGTATCCTGTGATGAAACATGTCTTTGCAGCTTGAAGTAGCCCCCATCCGTTAGGCACCAGGGTTCACTGAATGATTTCATTGTTATATAAAATAGTTTGAATCATATGCCATGGCCTTTGCAGTAACCGGACCCCAACCCAGCTCGACACGTTTGAGAGATGGTGGGTCAGCATGTTATACAGCATGCTGGCCTGTTATACAGGTCAACCACAATCATCAAAACACAGTATAACCGAATATCATGTATAATATCTAATGACTTGAACCGCTACAGTGCAGGTTCTGCACTGAAACTTAAAGTCATAGCAGATGTCCAACCAAAGTAGCTGTGGCAGCCCTTCATGCTGACTTAGTTTGTCATCTGTCTGGATATACTTCAGTTCTTCCATAACGTCTTTATGGTACTCAGTGGTGTAGTTGGATTACCTCATTTTTTCCATCTATACTGTGTGCACTGTGATTGTTTTAAAGGCAGACATTTTGCCATGTTACTGTTACATTTTCTAATGGCTTTGTTCTCTTAAGTTCATGAAACTGACCAGCAAGCACAATACCAGTAAATTAAATGTACCAGTAAAGTAAATGTAAACTGTTTAAAATATGTACACCAGGATTTTTCTGGAAAAATGTCCTGTCCTTGAAAAATGCCCCCCCCCCCCCTCTCTTTTCTGCTGTTTCCTGAGTTTTGCCCACCTAAAATAAAAGATATATATATATTATAGAAGTATAATAGATATTAATAATTTTAACATCACTATGAGACTTTTAAATTTTGGTTAATTTGTTGTAAATCTTTGAGTCTATTTTTCTGCTGTGAATTCTACATTTACATATGGTGATAAATGTCATTGCTTACTTCTGTCTGTACAGGAAGACCCTGCCTTGACACGCTGGGTGTACGCACGAGGCAATCCCTACGCACACTTCAGGCCTACAAACAAGACCTCTCTGCTGGGTGCAATGTTTGGAGTTGTACCTCTCTTTGCCCTCTACTACATCTTCAAGACAGACAGGGTATGAGACAAGAAACACTGTAGCCTTCTCACTCGCTGTCTGCTTGATCTTAATGGGTAGTTTAATCGGCTCAGCTGTGTTTTCTCATCACAAAAGTTTGTAGAGAGCTCTTGAACCACAATTTAAGCCCCACTGGGCCTCTTTAGGCTGTCTAAAGGCACGTGTGAGACTAGAACCAAAACAAGAACAATAGAAACTAGGAGTAAATTGCCAAGTATTGTTGGAGGTTAAAAAAAATATCAGTACATTTACTGCAGGAAACGAAATAATTCAGTATTGATTACATGGTTACCTTACACTGTTACAATAGTGGTCATTTTTCAGCCACTGTAATAATTTGACCATTTAGAGTATTTGATCTGGGTATTCATAAAATGTGATTTGGTGACAAATGCTGTCATAGAAACCTGAAAAGCTATTTAGTTGAAGATTGGGACTCATTATTCCCATGTAGGTGCACCGTTGATCTGGTTTTCTTTCTTTTGACACAGACCCGCTCACGTTAGAAATGAATGCTTCATCCAAAATGCTGCCTGCTTTCATTTTCTACCCCATTGTCATGGAGATTCACCGTCAAAGTCCTCGCCAATTGAGATTCAAGGGAGAATTTGGTCCAATTGTCACACTGCTGGGCTATCATATTTGTCCCAACCCCCCTTTTTTGGTGCTGGGAAGGGGGGGAAATGCTGCTTGAAAATCATAAAAAGCTCACTCATAAAACACGGAGTTTGAGAAAACGTCTGGAAGGTGATGAGGGTGAGGGCGATATGACTTTGTTTCTATGGAAACCGCACTAACCTATCATCTGTTTGTCATCTGTTTTACAGGATAGGAAGGAGGAGCAAATTAAGGCCGGTACCCTCGAGCGCAAGTTCAGTTTGTCATCCTGAGCCCGGGTGTAGAAAGACCCTCGTCCTGTGTGTTCTAGAGATGATGTCCATGTGTGTAATTATTATTAACCGAATAAAATTATATTGTCAAACCAGAGTTACGCGGCTTTCATGTGTGAAAGTACCATTTGCATGTCTGCAGTTATACACAGAGGCAACGAGGATCTACTTGGAGACTGAAGGACTCGATTCCCCCTTCTCACATAAGTTCAGATTGGCACAGGAAAAGAAAATGCAAGACATGCTGATATCAATGATCCCCATTTCACATAAAGCAAGACTATATATAGTCCAATAAAGAAGCACTGTAGTGTCATTTAGATATTAAAGGATAATGGCAATATTGGTACAACAGTGGTCAGGGTCATTAGTGGTCCTACCAAACACCTCTTAGTAAAACAGAATGCTGGTCTAAGGTTGCCTCTTATTGTTCCTTAATTTTGCTGTTATGTTTCTTAAAAATAAAAATACACATGTGACGACAATTTGGTTTTATACTTCTGTGAGAAGGAAATTACTTTATTCTTCCTGTTTATTTTGTCGACAGATCTACTCGGGGAACACAAATCGTTGGATTGCGAGAAGTGAAATTTTTATTTTGATATATTTATTTTGATTTGTTGGCTCTTAATGCATTCTGAATCACTGGGTTTCTACTGTTTGCTGGGCTTCCAGTTGGGGTTAAAGTGGCTGCGTAGAGGTTCCCAACATTGGTAGTAGTTCTTGTCAAGCTTCTGGCATGTATGAAGACCCCACTTCGTCACCGCCATGCTGAAGGACGACTCAAACATAAAAGCCTGGTGACAGGAAAAAGCATGCTGTGAGAAACGATACCGACTTGGTCATGTGTTAACCATATATATATATTTTGTTTGTTTACCATGGTTCCCTCAGCCACCCTCTCAGGTTTGAGTTCAGCAGTGCTGTTCTTCTCAAAGCAGTCCATGTCCGGGCCATGCGGGGTCATTATGCTGTGGAGACTGGCCCCTCCTGGCTGGAAACCCTCCTCTTTGGCCTCATAATGGCCTTTGATCAGACCCATGAATTCACTCATGCAGTTACCTACAGTGACAAGCAGGAGGAGCTGTAACACAGCAGCGTCATGTGTCTAGTTTGCTGTTGAATATGACAGGTGTAACACTGATTTCCGCTAGATGGCCTTATAGGTCTGCAATGAAATCGGACAAAAGGAGACTATTGTGGGGTCTCCATTGAAGTGAGTCATACAGCAGGTGGTTTGTTCTCACCTACTGCCTTGACACAGGTTGGGTACATGGATGTGTGTGCGTGTGTCTTACGGTGATAGTATGGTGGGCGGAAGGTGTGGTCAGCCACACCCCACCGTGGTGGGAAGATGACAAAGTCAGCAATGGCAACCCCTGGTCTAGTGGATTTGGCAGTCAGCACAGTAAAGATAGATGGATCCTATATAGAGAGATCATAAACATGCGACGGGTGAGGAGCACGGCTATTTGCATTCAAAAGTGCTATTGGCGTGTCCCTAAACACGACTCTCACCGCATGGTCGAAGGCCACACAGTTGATAACCATGAAGTTCTTCAGGTTGTATTTGTAAGGCGTGTAGTTACCGTGCCAGGCGACCACATTGAATGGCGAGAAATCCTACGTGCAGAGCACAGAACAAAACAAATAAGAGGAGTCTACCCAAGCAACAAACACAAAAGGCTTTAAATTGAGCTTTTCACAGGGAAAACGGAACAATGAATAATGTCTTTGTAATCTTAAATTCCCAGAGAGAGTACTTCTTCACATAAAGAGAAAAAAACTGGTCATAATGAAAAGGGTTGATTGTGAAAGAGGGTGTGCTTCTTTCATCCTTTCTTCTCTTTCATTCCCCCCTTTTCTTTGTGATACGAGGCTCCAGGTATTATGGGGTAATTGGCTTCACAATCAAACTTTCCCAAACTTTGAGCATTTTGACGCTCGCAGCAGCGCAGTTATGGGGAGAGGGGAGCAGCGGCAGCAGTGGGTGCAGAGATATTTCTTTATCTTGATTGTTAAAACCACAGCAATTTTATATAGTTTCTCTGTTCTGATAATGTCACTGCGAAAAAAGACATTCAACAGCAACTCTAAAATCAATATAGTTCATTACAACTCAAGCTGCCTCCATACTGACCTCCCTGCTCCTTTACACACAAGCTTTTCCACACACGAACAGCTAATACGCACCAACGATGAATACTGGCAAATACATATACATATACAGGTGCATTCACACACGCAAACATTCGTGACTAATGAACGCCGAAAACAACTTAACACACACTCAATTGACAGTAGTCGACGTACAAAGAGGCCTTCGGGAAATCCAGTGCAGGTAATTTCTTGGACATTCATCTGTGATAACTCCACTACATTCGATTAAAATGAAGGGAGGAAAATGGAGGCGAGCGAGCACTTGCGCACACACGCACACAAAACACAAACATATTGGTCCAGTCAAGCAAATAATAAGTTAATTTGAGCAATTTCGGCACTCTGCGGGGGAACAAAACAGCAAGACCAGGCAGGAGCGGCAGCATCTTCCCTTATACGAGGCCTCCGCCGCCCCATCTTATTTTCTTACCCCTGCAACCTCTCTGGTCCACTCTCTGGGACGAGCATATAACTGTTGGCAGATACTCAAGCAGAAGCAGAGAGGAAGATGGGAAGAGGTCTGTTGTGCTTCAAAAAAAGAAAAGACAGTATCTTGCCCTAGTGTACTTCCTATGATGAATAATAACAGTGTGGTTTGACATGGTTTCCACGGTTACAACCCCCCCAACCCCCACCCCTGACAAACCTCTCCTCCCACCTCCTCCCTGCCTCAGTAAAAAACCTCCTGTCAGACATTATGTGTCGATCCAATTATGCGCCCAACAGGACATTTCGGGAGGGGGAGGATCATTCCCCGGCTGAAATATGTTGAAATTAATGCTTAACTTGAAAAAGGTTTTTTTTCCTACAAAGCAAAAGCTTCACAGGTACACTGTCTGCAGCTCCAGAATGCCTTAACTAATTATGAGTGATTAAGACTCATAAGGGAGTCGAGGCGGAAACCTGCTGAATGGATAACAGCTAATGCTTCGATATTAAATCATCAGGGATGGCAATTCAGTCGGCAGGAGCAGCTAATGGATCATATGCTTCACTTGGACAGTTTCCTGTTAGTCACTGCGGCAGTTCGATGGCGTTCACTGAAGCAGACACAAAACTAAATAGGGTAATAGGGCAAGTAAGCCGTGTGTGTGTGTGTGCGCGTGTGTCCCTGTCAGACAGCAGGTACGCGTGGAAGTACAGTGATACAGATAAAGTTGTGTGCCACAATAGCCACCTGTTGGCATGCAAACAGCTTCCCCTGGTATTTATTGATGACGGTGTAACCAGTGGGCACTTTGCGATCTTCATACCATGCAACCGGACACAGGAAGTCTCTCGGGTTAGCCAGACCATTGGCTCCTGCAAAACACACGCAAAGTGTCAAAGTAAAGGCAGTATAGGCATAATCATGATGACAATGATAACAATAAAAAAATAGGAAACAATTGGGGGTGACAGATCACGTAATCACAGGTGGTTTCGTGTAGTTAAGGTGTTAGCTTATTTAGCAATTTAGCTGTGCATTTTTTGATATTTTAACTATTTGGAGATTATGTATTGGAATTTCAGGAGCAGGGCCACGCCTCCAAACACGCTGTCTTCTATATAGGTTCCCCAGTTCTGCAAGCTGTTCATTCTCGTTTACCATCATTTCTATTTAGTGCATGGGGGTCTGCCAGGGCAGGGAGCCATCACCAGTCCCCTTCGAGGCCTTCCCTCAAGTCATGTCAGAGCATTCAGCTTTACCTAGCTTAACCTAAAATGAGGACGTGGGTCCAGCTAGTGAATAAAGGTAAAATAAAGATTAAAACAATTGTAGGTGCGAATAAATTTAATGATAAACCATTATTTTTAGAGGCATGATGCTTTGTTGGAAAGCCAAAACATCTTTGGTGGGCACAAGAAATATTTTTGTTATATGTAGGAAGACAGAAATCACAAGCTAGTCACTAGTTTCCTAAATATCTAACAGCAATATGCTACTCAAAGAAGGATTTTGTGTTGTTGTTGCTTTTTATATGTACTCTATAAACAAAACAGCAGATGTTAATCTCCTTAATAAAATTTCTAAGCAAGATTTATCTTCTGAGCACAGAGTGAGTTACGCAGAGAAAAGTGTGAACAGTTTTAGACATGGACATTCTGTTCCAAGACATAGATGTAAAAGAGCTTGGTGAGCACATTTCAAGGAAAAGTGAACACAAAGACGTATGCTGCACTTATATAGACTCACAAATATCATACAAACCTATTGGGCCAAGGTCAGGCAGTTCAAAATGGGCACCATACACCTCGAGTATGTAGCCTCTGGTTTCCCCAAACACATCCACACTGAAGCGCATCCCTTGCTAAAAAAAAAATGTGAAAAGTGGCAGTGAGAGGAAATTTTGTCCTATTAAGTATCAGCTGTGTGCTGTTTCAGTTCTGAACGGACTTTGAAAAGCACACGTGCTGCTGTCCAGGTGGTCAGGCTTTCGGTAGCTTAAAACCTCTATTCCACCGTCGCTTATTTTTGAGGTCACTTTCAAAAAGCACCAAACAATGCCTTTCTAAATATGGTAAGTGGGATGTTGGGGCAGACACAACGGCAGATTTCTTTGAAAACCGGGGAGATGGAAAACATACAGCCCACCTGGATGACACAGATCTCGTTCGACTCGACCATCATCTTCCCAAACTCTGTGGTGATCAAGATCTCTCCCTGCTGAGGGACTGCGCACACAAACAGACAAAGAGAGACACAGAGAAAAGAAAATTTGAACAAGAAGGCAGGCTGATGTTTGAGCTATCATTGTTCTTATGATAGATGACAGCGAAAACAACAACAGCGCTCCTTTCCTCACCAATCAGAAAGTCTCCATCTGAGTTGTTGAAGCACCTGGAACAAGAATAAAATAAGATCAAAGAAAGGCTGGAAATGTTTTTCATCAATAAAAAATATATCCTTTCGTCACATAATTTATACATTCTCACCTGTTGACCATGGAGGTGTTACAGGTGTACACGTGGACTCCAATGCCATTACGAGATTTGGCATCTCCAGCACCGCAGACAGTATGCAAACCCTGAAACGTGGAGAAGGACGCAAATAAAATCAGATGGAAATTTTCATAAAAATTCAAAATAAGAGAAAAAATTAGCTTGACTTACAGCCACAAAGTCCACTTTCTTCTCTGTAGTTTTGGGGATGGTGAATGGCAGCCATCGAAGCTGTGAAAGAAACCTCAGAGTCAGAATCTGCACAAATTTTTACTGTAAAATTATAATAAACCACCATGATTTCACAGTGGGCCTGCTTTACAGCTTCTTTAAATGTTTGTTTTTATTACTTACTAGCTTGCTGTTTATATTTAGTTTCCCAGCTATTAGTATTTACAGTATT